TTTGGGGATATTAATAGAAGAAAAAAGAACATTTTAAAGGGGATTGAGAGGATTCAGAATCAAAGGCTGTATAATGATGCTTCTAGTTTAAAGTGGCAGGAAGAGAATTTACAACAACATTTGAACACTGTCTTGGAAGAGGAAGAATTGTTGTGGTTTCAAAAATCTAGACATCAATGGATTGTGGACGGGAATAGGAATACTAGATTCTACCACCTGAATACAATTATCAGAAGAAATGGGAATAAAATTGCAAGATTGAAGAATGATAGTAATCAATGGATTGAGGAGCCCGAGGATCTTAAAAGGGTAGCTTGTAATTTTTTCCTTAGTTTGTTCAAAGAAGAGAAAGCTGATAGAAGGTGGTTAATTTCTCAGAATATGTGGCCAGCTCTACTATCAGAGGATATTCAAATGTTAGCCAGGCTTCCTACTCAGAATGAAATTAAGAAGGTCCTTTTTGATATGGCTCCTCTCAAAGCACCCGGTATAGATGGATTTCCGGCTAGTTTTTTTCAAACTAATTGGGATAGAATGAAGGATCAATTATCTGAGCATATTGTTAAGCTTGGGAAAATCCTGATCTCGTGGCTACAATTAATGCTACTCTTATTGTTCTTATCCCAAAGGTTCAGAATCCTGCTCATATGGCTCAATTTAGACCCATATCTCTTTATCCAGTAATTTATAAGTTGCTGACCAAGATTGTTGTGCATAAGCTGAAGTGCATACTGGCCAAAATAATTTCTCCAGTCTACGCTAGCTTTGTTCCTAAGAGGCATATCCATGATAATATAGTTATAGTGCAAGAATTAATTCATTCTATGCACAAAATGAGAGGTAAAAAACCTTTCATGGCTATAAAGGTGGATTTGGAAAAAGCATATTATAGAGTAAGTTGGGATTTTATGAATAAAGTTATGAAGGAGATTCAGCTTCCGGATAAGCTGATTCATATCATTATGGCTGCTATTACAACTGCTAATTTTAGTGTTTTATGGAATGGTGAAATGACTGATGACTTCCATCCCACTAGGGAATTAGACAAGGAGACCCGTTATCTCCTTATCTCTTTGTCATGGGCATGGAAAAGCTTAGCCATATAATTAAAACAACAGTTGATGGGGGTATGTGGAAGCCGATTAAAGTTGGAAATGGAGGGCCAGAGATTTCTCATTTGATGTTTGCGGATGATCTAATGTTGTTTGCTGAAGCTAGCCCGCATCAAATACAAATTGTTTTGAAATGTCTAGATTTATTTGGTGAGATTTCTGGTCAGAAAATTAGCATTGAGAAAACAAGTATTTCCTTCTCCAAAACGGATGTTGCAGCAGAGGAAATCTCCAGAATTTGTGGGTTTAAAAGGGTTAGAAATGTAGGTAAGCATCTTGGTGTGTGGATGAAGCATGGGAGGGTCACTAAGGAGGTTTATGCTAGCATTGTGGAAAAAACTCAATCCAAGATGAATAGTTGGCAGGCTAAGTGTCTCTCTCGCTGGGAGAATTACTCTTACTTAGTCTACACTGGCTTCATTGCCTTTTTTCCAAATGCAATGTGATAAGATTCCTGTTGCAGTATGTTATGAGTTTGAAAAAATTCAGAGAAGATTTATTTGGGGGGATACAGAGGATAAAAAGAGGATGCATTTTGTTGGTTGGGAAACCCTTACAAAGCCAAAAGAGAGTGGTGGGCTGGGATTAAAAAAGCTTAATTTAATGAATGAGGCCTTTGTTGGAAAAATTGCCTGGGCTATTTTTAGCCAGTATGATGAACTATGGATTCAGGCTTTGTATGCTAAATATACAGGTCAGAGAATGGGAACAGATATTTTTAAAAGCAGGGTTACTGATTTAAGGCTGTGGAAATTCATTTGTTTGGTGTGGAATAAATTAGAGAAGCATTTGATTTGGGAAATTAGTAATGGTAATAATATTCTTTTTTGGAAGGATAATTGGGTTAAAAATGCAGGTAGGCTGATGGATAAAGCCTTAAGTCTGATTCCTTGGGATGAAGTGTGTATGAAGGTGGCTAATTATATAGACAGTAATGGAGTATGGGATCTAAACAAGCTTTCAAGGTGGCTCCCAAATGATGTTCTGCTTAACATCCGAGGTATGCTCCCCCCGAATCCTCATGATGGGATAGACCACTTGCTTTGGAATTTAAAAGGTGATACCAAAGTTTCTGTTAAGGATATTTATGTCACTTTATCTGGTGCGGTTGAGCAGCAGGATTTGGCCCCTATTTGGAAGAAAATTTGGAATTGGAAGGGACCTCAGGTTATTAGGCTGTTTATTTGGAAAGTGCTTCACAATAAAATTCCTACAAAAAATTTCCTTAGCCAGTTTAATATGGGTTCAGCTTCTTGCCCAATTTGTTGGGAGTATAATGAAACTTGTATTCACTTATTGAGAGATTGTAATGATATGAAGAATTTGTGGTCTGATTTGGTACCAATAGATATGCAGGTTTCTTTCTTTTCTGCCAATTTATGGGATTGGATAGAACTAAACATGTCACAGATTAGTTTTTTCATGGATAATATCCCTTGGTGTACATGGTTTGCTACGGCTTGCTGGCTTGAATGGAAGTGGAGGAATGAAATGAGTCATGACAATCCAAATCAAGTTCATGATTATCAATACAATATTCAGTCAGTGATAGCCAAGGTGAGAGATATACAAGATGCTTTTCATAAGGTTAATTTAGCTCAAAATAACCTGTCCCATTCGGATACTTTGATTTTTTGGAAGGCTCCTGGAAGCAATTGGGTAAAGATTAATACGGATGGAGCGGTTAAAGGTAATCAAAGATTAGCAGATTATGGTGGTGTTATTAGAAATGATACTGGTCAATGGTTAAAATGATTTGCTTATAGAATTGGTAGTTGTGATGCTCTTATTGCAGAATTCTGGGGTATTTTAAAGGATTTGCAACTAGCTTGGGAAGATGGATGGAGAAATGTTATTGTAGAAAGTGACTCTAAGTCAGCTATTGCTCTGCTCACTAGTGATGGTGATGCAGTCCGTGAGAATCATCTGATTTCTCGATTACGGACATGGATTTAAAAGGATTGGAGAGTTCATCTGGTTCATACTTTCAGAGAAGAAAACTGTTGTGCGGATTGACTGACAAATTTTCCTTTTATGAATGTTAATTCTGATTATTTTTGTGTTTTTAATTCCCCTCCCCTTGGAATTGGTCTGCTGTTTGATGCAGATTTAGCTTCTATTTGTAGAACTTATCGTATTTCAGTTATTTAATTTGTGCTGTGGTGTGTTTTACCTAGTTTACAAAAAAAAAGAGTAGGGAAAAATAATTGCTATTTTAAAATATAAATATTTTAGTTAAAATTATAATGTTTTATTCAATAATTAAAATAAAAAATCTTCTATTCTTTTTCAATATAATTTTTATCGTGTAATTATTTCTTTCAGAATAAAACAGAATAATTTATCTAAATGACACTGTCCTATAAAAGAACACCATTTTCCCCAAAAAGATAATATTAAAATATATTTAACATGTCAATCGATTTACTTTCATTCATATAATTATAATTATTCAGTATTAAGCAAATATAAGCAAAAAAAACTTCAATGTTTTTAAAAATTAAAAAAGAAGGCTCAATAAAAAAAAAACCAACCAAAAAGATATTATATTATTAGTAAGAAATATATTTTTGTATTGCAACGAGAAAATCACCCTCTCGTGCAGGAGTGTTTCTTTGATGCATCAGATGTATTTTTGGAGGTTACAAGGAATTAAACACAACACCGTACATTACATACACTCCTAACACACACACTCCACATCACTAAGCTAACCCTAGTGGTTATGCATCAGATGTATGATGCATCTGTTACAATTTTTTTTTTTTTTTGAGATTTGAGGAAATTCATGAAAAGATATGGATTAAATGGAAATAAATTTTGTTATTTTTAGAAAGAAGATATACCTACTTGGGTACATTGATGTATAGAAGAAATTTCACTCGTGCAGAGATATCATGGTGATAATGGGATAAGTTAGATTAAAGTTTGGTCTTAAAAGATGAAGTTTGTATTTAAATATATCAGTCTGTCTGGCCTGTTATCTGTTATGAATATAATTATTGGTATATAGCATGATTTATTTATAAAAAATAAAAATCTGGTTTAGCCTGTTAAAATAAATTAAGACAACAAAAATTTATTTAAAATAACATATGATCAACATCACTAATAATTCCACAAAGATTTATAAATTCAATGTATATCCAAATAATATAATATAGAATAAAATCATTCAAAAAATCTATTTAACCAATAAAATAATGATAAATGGGTTGAAGAGAGAAATAAGGCTATAAGTAGTATAAAAAATATAAAATAAAAGTTAATATAGTAGGTGAGCCTGATAGACTTTAAGAATGTGCTTTTAAATTAGAACCTAAAGTCTTTTTATTAAATAAGCTTTTATAAAAATTTAAGTCTGCAATCAATTTTATACATATAAATTCTAAGTGTTTAATAGTCCGGCAAAGACCACTCAATGGCTCCTACGTTTAACCCCCACCCCCCAATCAGCCATTTTTTTTAACTTTATGTGTCAGCGGGATATTAAAAATTTCAATTGCAACATATATAAAGATTAATTTTTTTTTTTTAGGTTTGATGTTTGTTATTTTAAATAATATAAATTATGTCATTTTAGAAGAGAGATGAACACAAAAAATGCAAACCATGAGAGAGAAAATGAGTATTTTTTAATTTAAATTTTAAATAAAAAAATTATTGTGTATCTATATCTCTTAAAATAATATAACTTTATGTAATTTAAAATGATAATTTTTTTTTATCCTACTAAGAAATTATAAATAAAATTATCTCAAAAGCTGTAGGACTACCCTTTATGAAGTCGCTTATCTTAGGCAGAAAAGTGGAGGAGGTCATATCTAGCAAGGGAAGGGGAAGGGCAATTTCATTTTTGGTATGATAGTCACGCAACTGTTAACTCTCTGTCCCGCTTTCTCTCCGTTCTTCCCATTCCATCTTCACTCAAAGGTTGAGATTATTCTCTTATTCTCTAATTTCTAAGCGGATACGTAGCCTTCTAAACATTTGGATCTTTCTTGCCCTCTCTCTCTCTCTCTCTCTCTCTCTCTCTCTGCTTGGAGTTGTTATTAGTAGCTCGTGTGTGAAGAGTAATCTCAACTACATTTCTATACAGTTAGTTATTTACTGTTCTTTTCTTTCTTGAAATGTAAAAACCTGCTGAATTTCTTCCTGGAATGGCCTTATTTTTATTTTTTATTATTATTATTATTGTAATACTGTCACTACATCTTAATCAACAGAGATTATTGCTGCTGAAGAAATCAATTTTCCAAATTAAAGAGGACAACATGTTGATGCGAGAAACTTTTGATCTCAACTCTATGCAATCATATGCTGTTCCACTCAAGGAAGGTTTGAGGAAAACTATGCTCGACCAAGAGGTTATGTTTAGAAAGCAGGTATAACAAGTCAAGATTACGTTAGCTGCTTAGTTATGCATTGGCTTAATCTGGTGTTTAATCATTCGAGCAAATCCTACTTATCCTATGTCACCTTACATTTTCTTTTAGTTTTACACTTACAACCCTAGGAGTAAAATTATCTGTGTGTTTAATATATACTATTTTCAAGGATTCAATTATGTTTCTTCTGACACTTAGTTTTGTAAATCACTTCGGTTTTAAGCGTCACAATTATAATTTTAGGTTCGTTCCTGCAGAGCACAAATAATGAAATCAAAGCCATCAACTCTGTTTCTGTTGATTGTGCTCCAGGTCCAGGAACTCCATAGATTGTATAGTATGCAAAAGATACTGATGGAAGATATTGGTTTGAAGAAGTTTGATAGATGCAATCAATCAACTTGGCTGTTTTACTCCTCCAATCCAGTAACACATGGATCATCAGCAAGTTTGATTGAAGATGCAAAATTATCATCAACTGAAATGGTAAGTATAGCCACTGAAACATAATAGTTCTGTTACTGGTGATTTATTACTTGTTTAGTATTATTCTTAAATTTTTTTAAAAATTTCCTTACAGGTCTGTCCAACATTTACAAAGTCCCAAATGCTTCCAGACAGACATTATAGTGTTTACAATAGTATTCATCCGAAGCCACTTGGTCTTCAACTTTGTTCAGATCAGCGTGCAAGCCATTTGGGTGAGAAGAAATCTGTTTGCGACACTTAAATAGAAATAGAATATTTGAACATTCACTGTACTATGGTAATTTTTCAGACCAAGAAGCATTGAACCTTTCGCTTAGTGTTGTTGAGGAAGACAGGGGGATAAAAGCTACCACCTCCACTTGTTTCGATCTGAAAGAAAATTCTTCCACTCAAAATATCATTGACTTAGAAGTGTCCACAAAAGGAATATCAAATGAAGAGGGAAACCATGCAACTTGTACTACTACATTTGTTGACGTGACCAAGTGTGAGTCACAAATTTCTTCCCTTTCAGTCAAGATGGCAAATAGTAGCTGCCCTTTTCGTAATGATGGAGAATGTCCTCCAGGTACTGCTACTTTGTCCGCAAGAGAGTTTAGTTGAACACTGTTATGCATTAATTTTAATTTTTTTTCCTTGTAACCTTGCATAGTTCTTAGGACTAATATTTTTTTCTTTGTCCTTCAACAGGGTTCCAGGATTGTCATGAAGCTCTTATGCTTGACAAATCATCACTGAAGGATTGCATTTCTCATGAGGCAGGAAAATTGGATCTCAACCAAGTTCAGTTGGCTGACTCATCATATTTCTCAAGTGACAATTCAGTGACCTGCCATTTCCCAGCCAGCTCATTCCCAGTTTTTGGTGTATCCTTTGACAGGACTCGAGAGAACAACCGTCCCTGTGCGACACAGAGGAAAGAAAGCAGCAAGTCCCTATATGATGCTTCTAACATCCTTCAATGGGATGATGCTGTAAATTCTGTTCTAATGAATTCCAACAACACAAGTGAGATTTCTGATCCCAAATGTAAGGGTATTAAGGGATGTGAAGCTGGCCTAACTGTTAATAAGTCAGTTTTTAGGACCCAGGTAGGTCAATATAATGATCTTAGCTACTGCATTAGTGACCCTAATAACATATATACCGGATCCATTTGGAAGCTTTACGGAGGCCAATTTACTGATGTAGATACTACATATGTGGCAACTAAATTGGTGAACTGTGAGAATACCAAAAATGATGAAATCTCATGTGCTGGCCTAAGTCCACCAGAAGAAAAATTTGAAGATGGCAACGTACTTCCTGCTTTATTATGTGAATCTAGCTGTATCATTGATAATTCTGGCAGCATAAAGACTAAACAACCTCAGATCAATTTGGGAGATACAAATCTCATCGCTCCTGACCAGCATTTAGGCACTGGTGATGGCAATGAGCCGGGGCATAATTGCCCCAAAAAGGCAGAACTGCCTGAAGTGTCTATGTGCATCCAAACTGCTGCTCAATTGCTTATAAATTTGTCCTTAGGCAGTTCTTCTAGCCATCAAGATTGTTCTTCCAAAGCAGAATCTGTCAAGGTTAGTAAGGAGGAGATGGAGAAGCCAGATTGTTCTGATTCTTATGAACAAATTGCTTTAAAACTAGAAGAATGTAGTACAGTTGACTGTTCCGTGTCATCAAAACCATACGAAATAGATAGCACAGAAAAAAGGGATTTTGTTTTTAAATTGAGAAAGGGGAGGAGATTTAAAGATTTCCAAAAGGAGATACTTCCTGGCCTGGTATCTCTTGCTAGACATGAAATTCAGGAAGATATAAACATTCTGGAGGCAATTTTAAGATCAAGGGAATACCGGAAGATCAGAGCCGGGATGGGCGATCAGAGGAGCTGGTGTGCACCTATGAGAAGTAGACGGTCCAAACGCAATAATGTGCGGCGGAAATTTTTTTAACAGAGTTCATCCAAGTGCTAACATAATCCCCCCCCCCCCCCCCCCCCCCCAACGTGTTTTCTTCTTCCAAGTGTAAGAAGTTAACAACCTTTGATTCATAGGATTTTTGAAGTTTGATTGTTCATTTCTGCCTTTAACGTGCTGAGGATGCAATCTGTTCTCCTTGTATGAACGACATCGACAATCTCTTCAAATCTTACAGTGGGATGCCCTCAATGATGAATTAGTTAATTTGGATCGAATGATATTAGTATAATTAGAGTATGGTTGCAGATTAGTTAAATTCGTTTTTAATTTAGCTATTAGTTACTAGTTGGTCACTCTCGTTGTATAAGCAATAATATTGGCTTGTTGTATACACTTCTACACATTCAGTAAATTTCTGATTTCTCATCTTTCCCATACAAATGGTCGGAAACAAATCTTACTGATCTCATGTTAAAAGGGTAGATTATATTTACAAACTTTTTGTTTACAAATTACACTATGTATTACGGATAGTACATGCTCAAGTAGGATGTACTACCCGTAGTACATAGTGTGATTTGTAAAAGTTTTTAAAATAAAAAATTTGTAGATATAACCATGCTCCAGGTTAAATTGTTTTCAAATTCTAATAAATATGCTTTTGAAATTTATTGAAATAATAAGCTGGAAATTTTCTGAGACGTAAGGCCTTTTAATGTGGCTCTTTCGTCTTCATGAATGCACTAGCTTCTTGATGGCTTGAAGCATTTCTCGTTAGTTATATAATAGCTTCTCCTCCCTTTCTTATGCGCTCCTGCTGCATACCAACAAATTGGATGACAAACCAAATAGTGAATAATATTATATGGAATACAGGAATAGCCCTTTCCCATCTTATGAAGGGCAAGGTGGGCTCCAACGGTGTTTTAGATATTCAGGGCTCTTATTTAAAGAGGAAATGAATAACATGGCCGACCATTACCGAACGCAAAGAGGACAAATGGAAGAATGCTCAACAATTTAAACTGCAAGTGCAAAGTACTAGAGATCTTCAAGTTGCATAATTTAAATCGATATACCTTATATTGTGTGCCAAGCTCGCGCCTTGCCAGCATAAATTATTTAAGCTTTCGCATATCTAGTACTACTTAAACTAACTTGGAGGACAGTTACCTTTCTGAAAAATTCGGATCAGTACTTATAGGGATTATGGGGTCAGCATCATTTTTTGTTAGAGACAATGACCATTCTTGAAATTACTTATAGTATTGAGTTTATTTTTGGCGAGATAGTTTTCTGACTTAGAATGGAACCTATTTGTCCATGTCATATATCGGTATGAATTTTGATTAAACTTGTGTTCTTTTCACTCTTTTATTTCCCCCTCTCCTTTTTTTCGTTTCTTAAATATTAGAGGTAATAATCATCCATAAGCTCTATGCTAACAGTTTAACTAGGTTGGAAGACCTAGTTGTTGACAAATCTCAGTTATTTTCTGTGATTTTGCCTCTATAAAGGAAGATCAAAGAAAAAATTGAGAGAATGTTATGAAATTCAAAGAAACACCATTGATTTCTACAACCCTACTTCGTAACTTCAATCAAGTAGTAGCTGCAACTCTAGCTTGACTAAACTTCTTACGAAAAGAAAGTGTGCATAATCCAAACTGTGGGGTTTCTGATTATAATAAGACTTTCTAGATCATTCATTGGATGCTCCTTTAAATTACTTAGGAATCTAGAACTCAAATCTTGCATTGAATCTTTTTAAGATGTTCTTATCATCATATACTGCATTACATTCAGATTGATATTGGATAGCTTAGCCAAGATGGGCGATAAGAAGAAACAGAAGATATCAAGTAAAGGTATGCACCATCATGTGTTATGTTATATTTTCTCAACCACCAGAAATTCTTTGGTGGTAGGCCCATCCTTTCTCACAATCTTCTATAGTTATGTGTGTTCTTGGACATTTATGCAGCAAACGTGGAGCTACAGTCAGGGCCACATTAACATTGAAATTCATTAATTATGGAAGACGAAGAAAATTTTCAAGGCAGGGAAAGTAATTTTCAAGGCAGGGAAAGTTCCGCAAATTTTTCTTTCATCATTAATCTTTTATTTTTTTCAAAAATGTATCCATCATTGCATAGAACTTAAGACAACATAGCTACACGTAAGCTCATAACAATTGAGGATGGCAAGCCACACAACAATGTCATATACATAGTTGCTAGGATATTGAATAAAACAAATTAATTAAATAAATAGAAGTCTAATTTTTATTTTTAAAAATTGAGACAATATAATTTTATTTGAAAATGAATCCAAATTTCCACAAAGTTTAAGATATCATAGCTATATGAAAATCCATGCGATGTATATAATGCTTGAGGATGGAGGACCATACAACAACATCATAAATCATTAGGTGGATTAAAAAGAAAATTATTTCTCATTCATACTTTGAATATTTGACCACCCTAATAAAAATGTGTTATAAGGTCAAATAAGCAAATGGAAACAAACAAAATACAAATTATATTTCGCTTTTGATTTTTCTTTTTTTTTGTAAATTTAAAATTTCTTAACAAACATTCAATCAAATTTCACAAATAAATAATAAAAATACATAAGACAAATTTAAGCAAAATCAAACTAATTATAAAGGAGAAACGTTAAGCTGACTATTCTTATACTTTCAAAAAAAATAAAAATTATTCTTTGAATTTTCTAGCCTAATATTTTTGGGATTTTATCTTTAAATTTTATTGTTTATCTATATATTAATGTTTTAAGTAAAGGAAAAAGTGTTTGTAATTTTTTTTTATTACCCCCAATTGGGTGACAGGCACACGTTACAATGCTCGGTAATATTTGTCATTTTAAATGACATAACTTTGTATCATTTTTAATGATATTATGTCATTTTGATGTGTTTTGTTATTTTCTTTTTTATATAAAATTAGGAAGAAGAAAAAAGTTGAAGAGAGAAAATGTATAAGGGCTTTATTAATCTCATGCAATAGGAAAAAACTCTCTAATTCTATAGAGACAATCATGTGTGAGACCCACCCACTATAGAAAAAGATAAAAAAGATAAAAAAATAACACGAAAATATATATATGTGTAGGAGAGAAAAATACTCTCCTACAACATAAGAGTATATTTTTCCAATGTAAAAACACACAAAAATGATGTAATTTCATTAAAAATGACATAATTTTGTGTAATTTAAAATGACAAACACTTTTCCTTCAAGTAAAAAAAGAACCTACTCACTACATAGTACACATGATATAAAAAGAAAAAGAAAAAAATGTTTGTCATTTTAAATGACATAAAGTTATGTCATTTAAAGAGAGAGATAGACACAAAATAATATTTTTATTTAAAATTTAAATTAAAAAAACCACCCACTTTCCTCCCATGATTTTCATTCATTGTATCTATCCCTCTCTTAAAATGACATAACTTATGTCATTTAAAATGACAAACATTAAACCCATATAAAAATATACAAACAAACATTCACTAAATATTTATGGGTAAAATACTAGTCATTTTAAAAGATATAATTGTGTCATTTTAAAAGAGAGAAAAACACAATCTAGTATTTTTTATTTAAAATTTAAATTTAAAACAAAAATTTCTCACTTTTTTCCATAATTTTCATTGTTGTATGACTGTATCTTTCTCTCACTTAAAATGACATAATTTCATGAGAACAAATACTAAACTCTATATTTATTTAACTAAGAAAGGAAAAAGAAAGCCCATTTGAAAGCAATTGGGCGTTAGACAAAATGGGCTACTGGTCCATTAAGAAAAAAAGAAACCCTAACTAAGATAAAAATAGACAAAGGAGTGGAAGGGTTCATTTGCTAGCAGCGGCGGCAGACCAGAACAAAAAATGAGTTCATTACTGTACTATAGAACCACCAATGGAACTTGACATGGTGATCTTGCGGCGATCGTGAGGGTGAAAGTGGCTTGATCTCGCGGCATGATGGATGACCATGGAAGACAGCGCTGCGGTGGTGCGACGCGGCGGGGGTGGCGCCTTTCATTGCGGTCAGACCGATCTGAAACGGTTCACGGTGAAGGCGCTAGGGGATTTTGTGGTGCAGTTCCACGGTGCTATCAACGGTGGTTCATATCTTCTGGTACAGTCTCGCCGATCTGAATGATGAGGTTGTTGGCAGCGGCTTGATGTGGTAACAAGCACTAAGAGACAGAGGAATAGGCCTTAGGAGCACTGAAAATGGAGGAAAAAATGTAATGTATAGTGAGCATGGAATTATTATTTTTTTCAATTTTTTTGGTGATTTTTATTATTGATAAATAGGTTTGTTAAATGACTCTGTCTACTATGAATAGTTGAAGCATGAATGTATGTTATGTGTTGCTGAATATTTGTGATAATGGGATGTTATATTGAAAAGTGTGGATACCAAACCAGAGAGATTCAAACAGGATCAATAGCATGTTTAGAATCTTACCTCTTTCTTGTGCTCTGCAATTTGTGATTTCTTATTTCACTCTTTTTTCCATGAATAGCACCATCACCATGTCATTACCGGCACTTTCAGATCAAGATCCTTCTTCAAAATCTCTCTTAAAACATCTAATATTTTTACTTCTAAAATCGCTCGAAAACGTGCTCCATGTTCATCTGAAATTTTTATTTGTGTTTTCAAGACTTTTTTTTGTTGGAGTGTGTTACCTTTCTTCCTGATCCCCCTATCGTTCTCATTCTACCAAACTTTATAGAAAAAGAAATCAATTCCAATTTCTACTCTTGCCTAACGGATTAAGGGGATTTTAGCACTTTCTTCTGGCTATTGCCTGTAGCTCTTAACTCTGATTCTTTGCTATTTTTGCTCTCTGCCATTCCTTGGGCAAAGTGAGTCTACCAGCAGGGCGGTATCTTGTGGAGGTGGAAGAGCCCTCTTTGCAGTGGCGGTATGTGATTGGGTCAGTCTTTTTCTTTACCTTAATAGAACAAGGCTCTGTTGATATTAACACTTTAACAGAGCAAGGCTTGATGTGATGTACTTTTTTTTTTATCTTTTTTTTTTTCAAAACACAAAATAAAATAAAATTAAGAGGACAAAATATGGTATTCACAACATGTTAATGGGCAAGAATATATCATTTAAATCATGTTTAAAACATGTTCAATATAGTTCCTTTTTTCCTGTTTAGTTCATTTTGGCTCATCTTGTTGTATATGGTTTTGCTAACTGGACTTTTGATGTCATCACAGGTATTGCCGTGTAGGAAGGAAGGTCGTTTCTATCAAAATTTTCGTCCCCTTCAGATGGGTTTGTCTTTGAATGTTGGGGCATAATATCACAGTAATTTGTGTACCGCTTTCTTTATTCTTAAATTCTTTTTTTGTTTCATTTTTTTAAATAAATTCTTTTGACAAATCAATTTTTCTGAATATGTTCATTTATGGATGTTCAGATGCATCCTCCGCTGTTTTTATTGAACCATTGCCAGTTATAGACTTTGTAAAACAACTGCTGAACAGGAATGTCTCCAACCAACCACTTTCTTATGCTGATCGTGCAAAGGTTTGATTTTGTTGATGTCCTTTCTTGATAGTTTTCTCTATATCATCACATTTTGTTGAAATTTCATCTATTGTTAGTATAGAACTCTTTACAATGTCATTGTACTACTAATAATTAAATGGGTGACATAACAATGATACTCGTTGTATGGAGTCACTTGTGTTTTTGTTTTTGTTATCACTATATTCTAAGTTTATCAAGCATTCAAGGGGATCAATAAATATTCATTTCATTAGTTGAATTCGTGGAGATATTTTATTTTTTATAATATTGTTTTTAGAGTACCATTCTCTCAAAACTCACTAATTGTCTTTATTCTTCCTATTTCTGAATGACAGATCAAGGAAGGACTTTGTGGAATAAAAGTTGAAACAACTCACATACGAAGAAAACATCGTATCTGTGATCTAACTTCACAGAATGCTACATAGTTGAGGTAAGTAGCATTAACTTTTGTTATTTTAAAATGCAAAAAAGAAACTCATCTATTAATTTTCTTTTGAGTCGTCAACAATGTTAGATTCCCTATAGATGACAAAGGAACTATGAAATCTGTAGTGAAATTTTTCTTTGAGAAATATGGTGTCAAAATTCATCATGCGCTTGCTTGCAAGTGGGAAATACCAGTAGGTTATGCTATCTACCCCCACTTGCAAGCAAGGCAAGTGCGCATGCTGAATTTCGACACCATATTTCTCAAAGAAAAATTCCACTATAGATTTCATAGTTCCTTTGTCATCTATGGGGGAATCTGACATTGTTGACGACCCAAAAGAAAATTAGTAGATGAGTTTCTTTATTGTATTAAGAATAACAAAAGTTATTGCTACTTACCTCAACTCTGTAGCATTCTGTGAAGTTAGATCACAGATACGATGTTTTCTTTGTATGTGTGTTGTTTCAACAATGTTAGATTCTCCATAGAGGAACGATGAAATCTGCTGTGGATATTTCTTTGGGAAATACAGTGTTGAAATTCAACATGTGCTTTTGCCTTGCTTGGAAGTGGGAAATACCAGTAGATTATGTTATCTACCAATGGAGGTGAGCATTCTCATAAAGGCGTCAGCTCTTGGCTATCACATTAATGTTTATGTTAATAGGTTGTCTTGAATGTAGGTTTGCAAGATAGCTTATGGACAAAGGTGGATCTCAAGCAGTTTCATGCCAAAACAGATTAAATGTTTATTTGCCCTACGTCGTTGGCATCCCGCCGAGAGAGAGGATAATTGGTGAGTTTTTTCATAATGCGGATGATAAATTGTTTGGTGGATTCATGTGCATTTATGTTGTATGTAGTTAACAAACTCTGTTGTTTTGTATGCTACAATTGCAATTGCAGTGCCCTATATCTTATGCTCATTTGGGGCTGCTTGAGCTCGGTTTTATATGAAACCTGAGCTTCAGGTTCAATGTCTATGTCAAGTGGTGCTGTAGCTGGTTGTGGAATGGATGCTGGTGCAGGACGTGATATTCGTGAACCTCCTTCCTTCCATCAAAGAAAATATTTTGGATCTCAACCAAGTTCAGTGGGTGCACTCATCATATTTCTCAAGTGACAGTTCAGTGACCTGCCATTCGCTCAATGATGAATTAGTTATAGTTCGGATTGAATGATATTAGTATAATTAGAGTATGGTTGCAGATTGGTTAAATTCGTTTTTTAATTCTGCTATTAGTTACTAGGTGGTCACTCTTGTATAAGCAATAATATTGGGTTGTTGTATAGACTTTTACACATTCGGTAATTTTCTGATTTCTCATCTTTTCCACAAAAAAATGGTCCGAATCAAATCTTACTGAACTCAGGTAAAATTGTCTTCAAATTCTAATAAATATGCTTTTTAAATTTATAGAAATACTAAGCTGGAAATTTTCTGAGACGTAAGGCCTTTTAATGCGGCTCTCTCGTCTTCATCAATGCACTAGCTTCTTGATGGCTTGAAGCATTTCTCCTTAGATATTTACTAGCTTCTCCTCCCTTTTTTATAGGCTCATGCTGCATTACGACAAATTGGATGACTAACCAAGTAGTGAATAATATTAAAAGGGCCTTTTAATGCGGCTGTCTCGTCTTCATCAACGCACTAGCTTCTTGATGGCTTGAAGCATTCCTCGCTAGATATTTTACTAGCTTCTCCTCCCTTTCTTTTAGGGGGTGTTTGGTTCAAGTTTTTGGAGAGGATTACCGGTAATCCTTCTTTGGTAAATGTAATTACCACGTTTGGTAGAAGGAATAAATTACGATTCCCGGATATCCAAGGATTACCGGTAATTTGATTTATAATGAAAAGTCACTATTCAGATTACCAAAAATAATATAGTAATTCGGAATACCAATCAGAATACCAAGTAAAGGGAAAGCAAAACAATAAATTTCGAGACAAAAATACCCCAATCCACATAAAAATCTAGACCCAATCTATCAATTACAAAAGTAAAAATAGTTTGGGGTTATTTTTGTAAAATAACCTCATATTCCAAGTCATATTTCGTTCTAAACCAAATATGGAATCAGTAATTTTTACTCAGTATTCCCGGTAATATTTTGGCGAACCAAACACATCTTTCGTAAGATTCCAAGTAAACTCAATTTCTACTGAATTCCCATTAATCATGATTCCCGGTCACCAAAAAATTTCTCCTGTACCAAACACACCCTTAGGCTCATGCTGCATTCCGACAAATTGGATGACTAACCAAGTAGTGAATTATATTATATGGAATACAGGAATAGCCTTTTCCCATCAAATTATGAAGGGCAAGGTGGGTCCAACGGTGTTTTAGTTAGTCAGGGCTCTTATTCAAGGGTCCGTCGCTTCTCATGTGACTGCTGATGAGAAAAGTTGCAGCAAATTTTTAATATTAGGATACACGTGCGGATCCTAGGATACACGTGCGGATTCTATCAACAAAAAAAAAACAAAAAAAAAATCAGGATTCGGACGCGTATTCTGTGTTGCTGCAAGTTTTCCCTTCTGCAGTCACATAAGAAGTACTTTCTCCCTTATTTAAAGAGGAAATGAATAACATGGCCTACCATTACCGAACGCAAAGAGGACAATTGGAAGAATGCTCAACAGTTCAAACTGCAAGTGCAAAGTACTAGAGATCTTCAAGTTGCATAATTTAAATCGATATACCTTATCCTATATTGTGTGCCAAGCTCGCTCCTTGCTAGCATAAAATATTTAAGCTTTCGCATATCTAGTACTACTTAGACTAACTTGGAGGACAATTACCTTTCTGAGAAATTAGGATCAGTACTTATAGACTTTGTTTGGGAGTTTGGAGAGGAAGGAAAGAAAAAGAATTCAAGAGAGATAGAGGGGGGGGGGGGGGTATTCCCTTCCCTTGTTTGGAAGTTAAAACCTCCCAAATTGGAAGAACCTTAATTTAAAGAACAAGAAAGGTTTTGGAGGATTTTGTAAGAATTCCTAAATGTTTCCCCTCACTTTTTTAAACACACAAACAAAGGAAGGGATTAATAAAATTCTTCCCTTCCTTTCATTTCCTTCTTAAAACTAACTCCTAAACAAGCCTATAGGGATCATGAGGTCAGCATCATTTTTTGTTAGAGACAATGACAATTCTTGAACATTACTTATACTATCAGTTTTTTTGGCGAGATAGTTTTTTGACTTGGAATGGAACCTATTTAGTTATTTGACTTAGAATGGAACCTATTTGTCCGTGGGATATATCGGTATGAATTTTGATTAAACTTGTGTTCTTTTCACTCTTTTATTTCCCCCCTCCCCTTTTTTCTTTGCTTAAATATTATAGGGAATAATCAATTCATAAGTTCTATGCTAAAAGTTTAACTAGGTTGGAAGCCCTAGTTGTTGACAAATCTCAGTTATTTCTTGTTGTTGTAATTTGGGAAATCCGTTTCACAAACAGTAACGCAAGAAACATAACAAGAAAGAATAAAGAAAGCATAAAGAGACGAGACACCAGTATTTTACAGGTTCAGAAACTCAGTATGAGTGAGTTTCCTACGTCCTGGGGCCTAAAGAGGGTTAAGTGCCCTCTGATATGCAGTTTATTCAAGATCAGAAAGAAAAACAAGAGTTCATAGTATACAGAAACAGCTATAAAAAAACGAGCAAATGAGGAACCTAATTTCTCAAGCTATTAACAACAAGACAAACAGATCTTGAATAAACACTCAAGATTAAGAACGGTAAACAACAGATATTATAAAGATGAAGAAGACTTCCCAATCTTCACAAGCTAGCATAGGAAACGTGGTTCCTATCTCTGGACCTCCAAGCCGAATCACACGAGCTTCACAGGACCACCTTGCAGATTATCTTCTCCAGCATTTGAATACCAATCAGAAAAATTCACCGATCAAAGGAACCATCTTGTTGAGATGAACTAGATTCATCAAAGCATTATAGCCAAAATCACAGTGTTTCACTCAGTGTTGGTACAAAAACACTCAAAACTGAAAACCCTAGCAGAGCCTATTCTTTCAAGAGATTATATCAGAATACACAAAAGAAGATCTCACGCACGCACAGCACAAATGGGAGCTCATATACCATTAAGCCATCACACCTTAAGTGTGTTGCTTATTGCACAAAGACCCAACTTCAGCTGAATAGGGGAAATCACAATGGGCCTTGAATTAACACTTGGCCCACAGACATTTAATAATCTCAACACAAAAATAAGAATCAGCCCACCAGAGACATAGTAAAGTGAAGCAAGATATATACACATATATTTTGTTTAGGAAATATATATATATGACTATATACTACAAAACTCCACCTATATTCTAAACATGCAACAGAATAAAATGAAGCAAACCAGATTTGATGTAGGCATTTAACCCATAGGCCCATATGCAATGCATGATCATGGTGATTCAATTTTTAGCAAACCTAGAGCATCTCTAAATTTGCTAACAGGTATAGATTTTGTAAAAATATCAGCAGGGTTAATAATGCTAGAAATTTTATCAACAATTACTTGTTCACTAGCAATTATCTCCCTAATGAAATGAAGCCTAACATCTATATGTTTTGTTCTTTCATGAAATGCAGAATTTTTTGAAAGATGGATAGCACTTTGTGAGTCACAATTTACCTTTGGTGGGTTCTTACCTAAACCCAACTCACACTATACCTTTTAACCATATGGCTTCCTTGACAGCTTCAGTCAATGCCACATATTCAGCTTCTGTTGTTGACAATGCAACTATGTGCTGGAGATTGCATTTCCAGCTCACCACATTACCTCCCATAGTAAACACAAAACCAGTTAGTGATCTACGTTTATCAAGGTCAGCAGCATAATCAGAATCACAATATCCAATAATATTAAAATCATTAGAATCAAGTGCAGAGAAATTTAAACAGCAATTAATAGATCCATTTAAGTATCTAAGTAACCATTTAACTGCACTCCAGTGCTCTTTGCAAGGTTTACTCATAAACCTGCTTATCATGTTGACTCCATATGCTATATCTGGCCTTGTGCCAATCATATCATACATTAAACAGCCAACAACATTAGAATAAGGAACAGATGACATATACTGAGACTCTTCAGGGGATAATTCTCCTGAAACAGCTTTCAGCCTAAAATGAGCACCTAATGGAGTGCTAACAGGCTTGGACTGATGCATCTCAAAGATTCTTAGAACCTTTTTCACATACTCAGACTGGGATAGAGATAGATGTCTATCTTCCCTTGTCCTTGTAATTTCCATGCCAAGGTTGTCAACAATGTTAGATTCCCTATAGATGAGAAAGGAACCTTGAAATCTGTTGTGGAGTATTTCTTTGGTATTTTCCCCTCAATTACTATAAATTATTTTCATTGATTTTTTAATTAGTAAATTGTATTTTTTATGACACTTGATATTATGTTGCCATCAGCTCAAATATTATGATAATGCCGGTAGAGAACAGAATATCAAGCCTAAAGATGGGTATTGGAGCATGAAAAATCGGATAATTTTTTTCTTTTTGGGTGCACAGTGGTGCCTATTTTGTTTTTCTTGTTGATTGAATCCGAAATAATATTTTGTTGTCTATGTTCCTTTCAGAAATTCATCAAAGGTGGAGATATGAAACATTGATTTTGTACCAACTTTTCAAGGGATGTTGAAGATGGCATTGCAGGAAATTTTGCTATAAAATTGTAAAATGGTGTTGTCAACTTGGGATGGTATTAAAATATTCCCTTTACTCAGGCTTGTTCTTGCATACAATTTTCTTGATTTTTCTATCTTTCTTTTGCATATAACCTGGATTTCAATCTATACCCACTAGTTCCCCTATACAATTCTGTCTTTGGCCATGTGAAAAAGGTTTTGGAAACTAGGTATAGTTATGCCAAACAAAAATTGCATGAAAATGAGGTTAATTTTCTCTTTATAATTTTGCACAATAATAATAGCTCTCTTTATGGTAATGATGTATTAGCTGATCACTTCAACTTCGTTCATCCCTTCATATTGGGCAGGCTAGTGAACATGTCATGACATATTGAATTATTGTGCATGAGAGGTAAAAAAATTTATGACACATATCTTGGGCTTGTTTCCCAACGTGTCTTATCTAACCACATCATTTGTTCGCCTCAAGGGTACTTTACAAATGTTGTTTTAAAAATTAATGTGAAGGTTGGAGGATGTAACACTCTGCTTGCTGGTTTGCCGCATCCAGGAAGCATCTGTTACACTAATGACATGCCCATAATTATTTTTGGAGCGGGTGTGACTCATCCGGATTCTAGATATAATTCAAGCCCATCAATTGTGTTAAGGTATGTTCCTCATTTAAT